AGTGGAGTCCCTTTCATTGGAAGCACTGTCAGCCGCTCAGCAAGCAGACGATCAAGACCTACTGGGTCCCTCGTACGTGGTGACGGTAGGCCTTTGTGAAGAAGATGAATTCGGTCAGATATATAGCATTGATCACGAAGTTCAAGTTCTTTTGGTGGACCTTTCTGATTCAGCGCTCCAAGCTTTCAGAGAATATGATCCGGTGACGGATTCACTGGAGGAACTGCAAGCATATGATGATCATCATCCTGCGGCATTGCCACTCTCGGCCTCCTTGGTATCTCTGGCAAAGCAGTGGACCGAGGACCTGAGACAATCTCGCCTAAATTTTTACTCGGCTCGAGAAGAGCTGGAGACTCAGAGTGTGGCGCCCAAGACCCCAGGTCAACCGAAGAAGGCGGCGCCCAAGAGACTCACAAATGCCGCTTGGGCAGAACAAGTCGCTGCGCTGGCTACTCAGGTACAAGCTTTGACGGCACTTCAACAGATGCCAAGACCGAGGCCCGAGACTGCTGCGCCCTCTGCCGCGCCTGCAGGAGGACAACGGCTTGGTCTAGGCCTTGGACCTTATCCACAAATGCCGGCACTGGGTCAAGGGTTTGCTCATCTGGGACGGCCCAAGGATGCGGCCGTCAAGGCAGCAGCATCCCTCTTGGGGCCACCCCCAAAGACGCAGAAGAAGCCCGCAGTCCCTGCTCTACCGGAGGAGGTTGCTCGAGACGAGCCACAAGACCCTTTCCAACAAGCGGCGGACCCCATGTTGGCAGCGCTGTCCCTGCAGAGCACTGCATTGACCAGCCTGGTGGCGCACCTTGCGGGCCACTCGACAGACCCGCTGATAGACCTGCAAGGAGGAAGCATCAGCTCCAGTTCGTCCTCAACCCGGGGGGTCGCCAGGCGGGAGAAGATGCAAAGCGACCTGGCACTCAGACAGAGCAATTACTGGCTCGCCTTCCTTCAGCAGCTGTCAAGGAGGATGAACCCCTCTCGCCCGGTGCCTACCTCCACAGATATGGCAAAGGATTCCGATCTTTCGTTCCTGGCCTATCTGGAGAGGCACGGTGCCTACAAGCAGTCGAAGGAGATCGGCACCATTCTCTGGGTGCTTGGGTATATCGTCGATGCTGCAATTGCGCAAGACTTCGATGGTGTCAGAGAACACCTTGCCCTCTTCGCCACGGCTCTGGATCAGGCGGCCTTGGACCAAGGATGGTCAACAGCATTCCTGGTAACTTTGGCCGAGGAGCCACCAGCGACTTTGTTTGCAGAGAAGGGAACCAGCCTCTCGGTGTCCAAGCCTTCAGCCCATTGATGCCAGTTGCATGGGGGGCCGTGTTGCTGGCCTACCTGAAGGACCTGGATATCATGAACTCCAAGAAGCAGGAGAGTCCATCCAAGAAGGCGGGGGCGTCAGCCAGCCAAGAAACCAAGGAGGGCGATTCACCGAAGAAAAGGCCTCGCTTCCCCAAAAAGCCAAAGGGAGGCGGTGGCCAAGCAGCTCAGTGAAGGCTATGCGTGTGTCTCCTCCACCACGTGACATACAGTCATCGCCACGGGAGGAGGGGAGAGATCAGAATTCATGGAGAGGCCAGCCTGATGATCACGCCGGCCAACCACAGCCCAGCAAGTTCAACCATGAAGCAAAATTCGATGCACTTCAGCAGCATATGTCGCTCCCGAAGTGGTGCGCGTGTTTGACATCGGCTGTACTCAGGACGAGGACACCCTTTGCTGCTTTTCTTGCCCGTACGTTCCATCTGCCTCGCACCTCCCAGAGTGCGTCACCGTCCATGTTCCCGGCCCCGCTCCCTTCGGGTGAGCCTTGGGCTCGGATGCCCCCAGACCTTTCTTCAAGGAAGAGAAGGCAGATCCACGTTGCTCGGGCCATCCACATCATTGTTCTGGCTTTGAACTTTTACCATGCTGGAGGACCATGCAGCCTGGAGGCCTTGGGGAGAACTCCGAACGCCTACCATAAGGGCATTTATCAGAGGATTCGGAGTTTAATCAGGGCGGAGGGCCAAGCTACGATTCAATGTATTGCTAGCTCTGGTCGTAGGCTTCCACAATTAGTTGCACGACTTTCGGAGCTATCTCAAGCCCTAACGTCCATTGGCCCTTCTTGCAATCCCTATGACAAGGTGTTCAATGGCTTTGAGGTTGCTCCAACCACAGACGCAGAAGAGCTGAAACCCTATAGGAATCTGGATGCAAAGAGACTTGTCCTGACTGGCAGGGGAGCATGGGACGCCACAGAGTTCCTGCAGGATGAACTGGTTCTGGCCTTCCGTGAGCCAGCATCTCTCCTCTTTACAGATGAGCCCCTACAAGAAGATGCGCCGCTGATTACCGATGATCCTAGCGAGATAGTCGCACTCGCATCAGTCTGGGACAAGCAAGGCCTGCTTTTCATCCATGATGGCAGAGCTTTTGATGAGCATCCTGAATGCTATACCCGCATCTTCAATGCGTTCAAGAATGTCAAGATGGACCGCCAAATCGGCGACCGACGTTCGAGAAATAGTTGCGAGGGCCGTGTGAAGGGCCCCAGTGCCTTCCTCCCATGTGGCCCCGACCTTTTAGACTGGTACTGTAACCCCAGGACCCACTACATAGCCCAAGCCATCACTGACAGAAAGGATTTTTATCACCAGTTTGCTGTTTCGGATAGCCGTGCTTTTTCGAACACTGTAGGACCGCCGGTCGATGCGAGCGAGCTAGAACAATTTGATGCCTTCTCGGCGTACCTCCTACGCCAGGCGAAGTCCAGATACCACAGAGGTCTTCACGGAGACCGTTTAGGCCTGAAAGGTCAGCATCTTGCAAAGGGCCAGCCGCAGAAGCTTTTCGTTGCTTTTAGATCGATCCTCCAGGGAGACCACACAGGGGTTGATGTAGCTACTAGTGCACACCTGTCGCTGTTGAAAGGCGTAGGCCTCCTTGATGAGAAGTCTAGGTTACAAAGTTGTACTCCCCTTTTTGATCAGTCAAACTGCGAAGGACTTTGTATTGACGACTATTTTGCAATGAGCCTTGAGACCCTGGGCACGCCGTTGCAGGCCTTGGGTGCAAAGCTGAAGATCGATCGGGCCCTTGAGGCCTATCAGCAGGCTGGGATTCTGGGAAGTCCTGAGAAGGACGTGCTGGCCGATAAGGCAAAGATTGTTGGGGCCGTATGCAACTCAAGTGCGGAGGCCCGCGCCCAGGGTGTTGTTACCTTAGGCGCCCCTACTGAGAAGCGTATTGCACTTTCAGTCATCAGTCTGCAGCTGTGCACCTTGACGCACACCACAGACGTCTTACATGTGTGTTTGACCGGGGGTTGGGCGTCAGCCTTCATGTTCCGCAGGCCTCTCATGGGCCTTTTGCATAGGGTTTACGATCTTGTGCAGGGTTCAGTAGTGGACCCTAACCGCCCAAAGATTTGTCGCCTGCCTAGGTCGGTTGCCAACGAGTTTGTCCTTGCGGCAATCCTGATGCCGCTTGCGAGCTCAGACTTGAGCGCCGATTTCAACACACTGCTGTACTGTAGTGACGCCTCCAGCAGGATGGGCGCCTTTTGCTCAGCATCGATTCCTAGAGACCTGTCGTCGGTGATTTGGAAAGCATGTAAATCTAAGGGGGCTTACACGAGGCTCCTTTCGCAGGTTGAGTGGGACATCAAACGCATCGGAGGTTCCGAGTCATTTGAAGACGAGCTTGAAACGGCAGCGCAGCCGGTTAATGTCCGTAGGCCGTTGGCCTATCGTTTCGCGTTCATCGAGCTGTTTGCGGGGTCCTCAAAGGTCACGGAACAGATGTCTCAACTCGGGTGGTCAGTAGGCCCGCCCATCGACCTGAGCTTCAGTCCGGAATATGACCTCTCGGCGGTTCATGTCATGAGTTGGTTGAGCCACCTAATAGTCACTAAGAGTATAGAGAGCTTTGCCTGTGAACCTCCCTGCACCACCTTCTCGATAATGAGAAGACCGCAACTGAGGTCGAAGCTGGAGCCGTATGGTTTCTGTCCCGCAGATCCACAAACCAAAACAGGCACAGTCCTCGCGTTGAGAGGGCTCCAGTGTCTTCATTTGGGGCACAGGGTTGGGACACCGGGCTGGCTTGAGACCCCTTTTTCTTCTCGTTTGAAAGCGTTGCCTCCCTACAAGAGACTCCAAGGGGCCAAAGGAGCTGACTTTTGTAGGTCGGACTCATGTTGTTTCGGTTCGGAACATTTGAAGCCTTTCGCTTTCCTCAGTGTTTGGGCCCCGCTCAGCAGGGTGAGGAGGAGATGTAGGTGCTCAGGTAAGCACCTGCAAGTGCAGGGTCAGTACACAAAGTCCAGCGCCATGTATACAGAGGACCTCGCACGAAACCTTGCTCTGGTGCTCCATGATGCCATTTTGGCAAAGAGGGCCCTCGACGAGGACTGGGACGGAGCCCCTTCCGCGGGACTTGAAAGCCTTCTGGTAAATCAGCTTGCTCTGGAAGCGCCTTGGCAGACTGAGAAGAAATGGACCTTCAAAGGAACCTCGCACATTAATATTCAGGAGTCTGTCTCGGTCCTCAGAGCGATTGAGCATGCATCAAGGAAAGGCTCCCCCCAGAGGACCTCCATTCTCGTCGATTCGAACGTCGTTAGATGTGCGGTTTCAAAAGGACGAACATCGTCCAGAGGCCTCATGCCGATTTTAGCTAAGATCAATGCAGTTTCCTTAGCCGCAGGCCAGTACCTGTGTCTGCCCTTTTGTCCTACTCGTCTGAACCCTTCAGACGACCCCACTCGTGGTGTTGAACTTAGATCCCCAGTGCGCGAAGGTGCCACTCTCAGACTGAGCCTCTCGGAGTGGGAGGACATGGCAAGCCATAAGGGTCTTAGGAGCACAGCCGCCAACTGGTTGCGTTTTGTAGTTTTGGTGGGCGGGACCCATCTGTTGAGCCTCAGAGATCAGAGTTCGTTTAGGCAGCCGCCTGTGTGGGAATATAGATCCTTCCTCAACCGCGCTTTCCCTCGAGAGTTTGATAGCACACTCGGCTTCCCAGGTGAGGGCCCTCTGCTACTTCTCCTCTGGATTTTTGTTGCTTCTCCCCTGTCTTCATCCTTCCTGGGCGGGCGAGGCACTCCTCCCTTTTGGATTTCAGGAGCCATTTTGGGGGGGACGCGATGCGCCATGGCAGTGACGATAGAACCCCGGAACCCGGGAGACCAGAGAAGAGCTGACTACCGAAAAAGGATTGGGCCACTCCCCACTGGCAGACCTGTGCTAAAGGTCACTGAGAAGCGAAGAGAGGTGTTGCTGTCAGCCTTCACGAGGTGGCTGGAAGGACGTGGTGTTGTGGTCGATGACCTCTTTGTCAACACCTACCAGACTATAGAGGAAATCAACACACTGCTGACAGCCTATGGGCGAGAGCTCCATCTAGCGGGCCGACCGCTGAATGATTTCTCTGAGACGATAAACTCAATTTCCAGTTGGAAGCCACAGCTGCGCCGGACCCTTCAGGGCGCCTGGGACCTGGCGTATAGCTGGGTCAAGACAGAACCGGCGGTTCACCACACCGCCA